TATAAAATAAAAGTTCTATAAAATTATAAACCTTTGCATTTGTAAAGAATAAAGGAGCCTAAAATGTGTAGTTGCGAACATTCACATTTTATTAATTTGACTAAAGATTTATATTCTTCTGTGGTTCTTAAGATTTCTTGTCAAGCAGATTGTCAGTCTTGGTTGCTCTCTGTGCAGCCTTCTTGATGCTTAACCTGTCCTGTTATCTGCAGAAAATACTCCCTACTTCGTGTTGCACTTCACAGGCCATACATCATATTAATTTTTCACTACGAAACCAGTGTTTTGTTGTGTCTGCCATATGGGCTGGCGCAGGTCTTCAGCTAGTGTAAACTGTTACAGCTCTGGCAAAGCTGGAAGTCCTTTCTCACTAAGTGTTCTTATTTTAAACCGGAATCTGTTCTATGTAAGAAGCGTAACTAGCATCACTTATACTGACCTGCATGTTTGCTTTTACAAACAGATAACGGAAAATGAGAATCAATTTCCTTGTTTAAAATCATAGTGAAAAAATTTTTGTAAAGTGATATAATCTTTTTTTGCTATGTGTAGCTTATTTAATTTTCCAGCAAATGTCTCTTTAGAAGCTCGTTTGAAAAGATAATTCTAAAATTTTGAAGGTACTCCAAATGATCAAACTTTAAGCGGTAGTTTTATCCTGAACCTCTTAGGTGGGAGAAAATTCAGAGCACAGCAGACCTTACTGCTTGTGCTGGCTCCCAGGAAACTGGCTGGTTTGGCTGCTGAATTTAGCTGGCTGGTGTGTGCATGTGACCACTTCCTGGCAGACGTTCAGATCTGGTAAGATTTTTTTGTTACCCAGAGGGGAAGAGAAGTGTTTTGAATCCATAAGGACTTAAGGTTTATTTTGGAAACGTGAGGGTTGAACGCTACAAAAGCTGAAGACCGATTCCTTTACGAGCACAAAATTGCATACACAAGATGAAAACCCAGTACCTTTTCCTTTAAATACATGGGTATCAAGATATGAATCTTACATTAACAGGATTTTTATCTTCCTCAAACTTGCTGCTATGTACACCAGGATATGCCATTGTACAGTAAGAATTAATACAACATGTTTAAATGGCTGATCCCAACGCTGGTCAAAGTGTTTAAAGTCACCAATCAAATTAAACTTTATTTTTTTTGGTGGGGATTCATCAAGACAGTATTGTTTCCAAGTCTTGCATCAAGGGAAATGATAATGTTCTGTTCCTTGTATTCTTGGGATAGTGCTTCATGTAGAACTCAAGAAGGAAAATGTACCCTAGACAGCTTTCCAATTCCAGTAATTCCATTAATGATCAAATGCTTTTGAAGGACTGCAGCCACTATATAGTTCCCTATACATCAGCCCTAAGGATTGAACCTACTATATAACGTATAATTAACCTTTGTTGTCATCAAAACATACAATGGCAGTTCAAAACTCACTGGCGTTGGTTTTGGTTTTAGATGAACAGAAAAGCTGGATCACAAATATATAAGCTGTCTTCATTTATCCCTGGTTTTATTCTATTGGTATTTCATCTAACTTGTTCCAATTGTGAATGTTTCAGATACTGAAAGAAGTACTGCCCATGAAGTATTTTATTGTATAGGGTTCAAACTGGTAATGATTAGAAATGAGCCAGCTTGTCTTTATTTTGAAATGCTGTATTTTCAAACAGAGTGCTGCGCCCCATGTCTGCATAAAACATGGTCTCAAGTAAACTTTTAGTAAAACAGTTTCATCTGTATAAAAGTACGCTTATTTTTGACTACACGTATGATTAATTTTTTGTAAAGTTTCACTAAAAAACCACTGGTCCATTGAAAAGAAGACGACATATATTACTAGAAGTCAGGAACCCTATTTACTTACTATAAAATTCTGTTTTAAGGCTACTGTTGCGATCATGTTACTTCAGCTTGGTTTCTAAGGAAACTAAAGTCTACACACTGATAACCATACAACAATAAAAAAGAAAAACAAAAACCAAAACCCCACCCCACTATTTCTCCTTAGTGGGCTTATATAGAGAGCAGTTTCAAAATAATACTTTATTATAACACAAATTAAAAAATACATTAGGTCATTCTGTTCACATTTTACCATATAAAAAGTGAACACAAGCTGTTAAAAGAAAAAAAGTACAACTTAAGATTATCTCCACAGACTTACTCCGTTACACGGTTATTTTAATTAAATAATCCTTTTACACTGGGAAAGGATTCTTTAGCTGGAAAACACTTTATAAAGAATCAAACATTTTGTTTGTATGCCACATATAGCCTGGATTTTTGAAAACGTCCTGTCCTTAATTGCTTATACAAAATGATTCATGGTGCAAATTGGCATTCACAAGTTATTGTGTGCATTAATTTATATTTTTTTCCTTTGTACAGGCATCTAAAAATTAGATTTATAGGTAGTGCTGAAATGCATTTTTATTTTGTCTTGAAATCGATTGCAACATACTTTAAAATATATTCACATTCTGTATGGATTTCAAACTATTGTCATCATGATGATGGTTTACGCGTTTTGTGGGAGGAGGGTTGTATCTCAAGAGTATTGGTTTGGTTAAATACAATACATGGACAAAAGACAAAGTAAGTTTTAAGCAGTTTTATGAAAAACAGTGTTTTTCCCAAGCGTTAAAAACAGCATACGAAAATCTGTAGGGCTAAGTTCTTATGTGGGTTTTTTTTAACCTATTTTTAATGGAAAAAAAAAATTGGAGCAGAATACAAAAAACCCAGCCATTTTTCTCCTTGAAAATGGTTTTGATACTGTCAAAATAAACTTTTCATTAGAAGATGAAAATATTTTCTTCAACAGCTGTGTTTGGATTAAAGTCTGAAATTTCAATTTTGTCAAGGAGGAAATTTTTTCTGAGGAGGAAAAAAAAAAAAAAACATTTCGACTGACTATAATATATAATATATGCAGGATATATATAGGTACACATGCAGGAATACAGAGCCAGCATCTCTGCTGGTGTAAAACATCTAAGTGTCTCTGAAGTCACAACTTGCCTAACTAACATCAGCTGTGAATCTCACCTAAGAAAGAAATTTTTGCTTATCTCATGTTCACCTCTCTGTGGAATGCTGGAGCCGGTTTCTGAACGACATGATTCTGATATAAAAGGCGTAAATATAGCAGTATACAGGGAACTACAGAGCTAACCTGAACACCAGAACGCGTCAGTGGCAAGAAACAAGAGGTATGGCTGTAATGTTATTTAATAATGTAGTCTTGAAAGCCTACTGAAGGAAAAGTCAAGTTTGTCTGTAAGAAGGCTACTAAAATTCTTTTCAGGTCTTCAGAGAAATTGTATTTGCAATGTAATTCTTTAAGACTACTTAAGACTAAGACCACTTAAAATGATGATGAATTTTTCAGGTCTCAGGATAGAGCCTTCAATGTACTGGTTACTGACCAATGTGGTACTTTTATTTGAGTGAGAAATTCCAGAGATGCGTTTTCTAGGTGGCACTCATTTTACTTCTAAAGCTTTTAACAAATATGTATATAAAAGATGCTTCTACAGGACGGTAATAGTAAATGCGGTATTTTCAGGCAAGCACACCAAATTCACTATGCCCATGACTCTCAACTTCCGTGTTAGTAAGAAAGCTCCCTGTTGCTGTTTATTGGTACCCAAATTTGTAAAGCTGTATGTGCCTCAATGTGTTTTAGTATCTAACTGCACAGTTCTACATAGCAGCCTTTCAGAATGATACTGGACGATGCTATTAAGCAGTACTACACAAGAAATGTAGTGAGCAATATTTCAGAACCTAACTTGATTCATTCTAATTGTCTAGTTACATTGGAGAATATACCATTTTGCCAAGTGCAACTCACACTTCTATATTTTACTATCTTTGATAAGCTCTGGGCTTTTTACAGTTGTTTATAAAACTTCCTTTAAAGTAAAGTGTACCCTTCAGTAAGGATTGCAGAATTTAAAGATGACTAAGAGTCTTATCTGACAGGGAGCAGCTACTCTTGTTTTCCAGTGCTTTCTCCAGACTGTTTCAAGTGATGGAATCTTATAATTTGTCTTGGAGAACTTTCACTATGATATATGTGTTTAATTAAATGGGGGGAAAAAATCTATACTTATGAATATGTAACTTCAGGTGGATGGAGTTGAACTGAATGTACATAAAATTTGGATAGCTCCCCCACTAAACTACCAAAAAATATATTTATCAATGCCCGATTGTTTTATGCTGATCTTTATGAAGTACAACACTTGCTTCTACTAACGATTTGGTTCCAGAGAAGAAATTAATTGTGGCTGGGGAAGACCTCGCTACAACATTCAGAGGTGCACTTCTTGTACTTCTCTGAATTACCAAATTCAGAGCAATGTCACAGACTTCACTGGTTTTACAGGAGATTTGTGTGCTTCGTCAAAGATCAGAATCAGGCCTTAAGATTTTTTGCCCTACAGACCTATATTCCTCATCTTTCCCAAGTTACAGAACCAGCTCTACTCTGTTGTGAAGCTCAAAAGTAGCAGTGATTCTCCTTCATTATCTGATTTGGTTATCTGAATTAAAAGTGGAGATACTTCAGACAAGAAGTTATCAACGCCTCTGTGGAGCATTTGGATACTGAAATCTTTGAAAAACTTCTGCTACGTGTTGCTCAGAATGGCATAGGAAGTAATTATGGGAATGATGAATCTCGCTGTTAAGCCCATTATTTGTTCTGCTTTTGCGTGGAAAGGCAAACTGAGGACCAAAGTGGTTTGGCTGAGGGCTTCTGAATCCTCTTTTGTTATTTTGTTCTCTCAAATTGGAAATATCACTCCCTCTCCCTGCAAGATGCCAAAGGCAGATGGCCTTCCTTCCTGTCTGAATGGTGACGGGCTTTCTCCAGGCTGGCGAGAACGTTGTTCCATAGGACCATCCAGTCAAGGAGGACACGCGAAGGGACCTTCCACCATTCTCTTCTAAGACAAAGCTTAGCAAGTTACAACAGAATGCAAGTTTGGTCAATTTAAGAATTCAGCAGAGAGGCTTCTACTGTACCTAGCGGATCGGAACTTGAGCTCATGGTAACATTGCACAAAGCTGTGATAAATGAAAGTGATCGGCAAGGCTAATAAAACAATGCCACTAACCACACAAATTCCTCCAAGAATCCTTCCTGGTACAGTGATGGGACACATGTCACCGTAACCAACTGTGGTCATTGAGATAATCACCCACCCAGCCCGTTTTCAAGGAGCTGGGAAAGTGCACTGAAAATTGCCATAGCAACACAGATAAAGACAAGTAGCATCACCATCTCTCTGTAACAACGCTTCAGAGTCAGACCAAGTGTTTGAAGGCCAATGAAATGACGAGCCAGTTTAATCACCCAAAAAATCCTCATCATTCTTAAGACCCTCAAGGTGACTCCAGCCCTCTGAAGCTGCGAATTTTCCCCTGTGAAAACTGTCATTAGAACAGAGATGTAGTAAGGAGTAATTGCCAGTAAATCGATGATGTTGAGAGGTCTTCTGACAAACTCACACTTGTTTTTGGAGACGATGAACCTCACAATGCACTCTGCAGTGAACCAGCCTATGCAGATAGCTTCAATTATCCTGTCAAAAGAAACAGAGTACAGAATTTATGTTCTGTGCAAAAGCTTTAGTAGATGTTTGGTTTGTTCACAGATACTACCAAATTGACACTCAGACCTTCACAAATGACAAACAGAAAAGCCACGCTATTCTTATCCTACACATGTAGCACTCGATTTCAGCAATTAACCTGAGGATCTAGTGAGGAGTTTAAACTGATCATTGCTAAGAATTTACTCACTGATCATTTTTCTTTGGTCCTAGTACTGGGAAAATATACCTACCAAAACTGGAACTCTACAGGAAATGGTATGCCACTGATGCCAATGTGTAACGTTACCTAGAACGCGCTTTTATTTTTTTTTTTTTTTTTTTTGTTGTTGTTGTTGTTGTTGGTTGGGTTTGGGGGGATTTTGTTAATTTTTTTGTTTTAAATCTGTGAGGCCTGGTCTACTTGGGAATGCAAAGGACTGTGGATCAGCGAACTGCCTGGATCTGAACAGCAATGTATAGGCCCAGACTGCTAAACTGGAAGTGAAGGTGAAGTAGGCAGAAATCAGCTTTTGCATTGGGTAATTCATGCAAATTGGCTCTTCAGGAACCAACCTTAACCAATCTGTCTGATTTGCATCCCAAATAGGGGGTTACCTAGAACTGTATTCAGAACTTTATAGGTGTTGCCGCTAAATACAGATGGTATTTTACTTTTCATCATGGGGTACACAAAGCAATAAGCTTGTGTCCTCCCATTTACCACTATGCTCTGCATCACTGATTTTCTTTTTTCATTTTAAATGTAACTCCACTGAAACCACATTACAGCAAAAATGTCAGGGTAACCAAAGCAATAGGCAAGATCATCTTTTGCCAAATACAAATCATGGCCTTAAGAAAAGAAATCCTGGAAGGCGATTTCATTATGTTCTTAAATATTTTCAAGTCCCAATGCAGTGAATGTGACTTGAGAATATCTCAACTTGAAACCAGTGGAAGGTAGAAACAAAAGATGAAAATGTTGCTCTAAGATTATTTAACTGTTGTGCATGTAGTCACAAATCTCCCATCTGATGATAACCCTTTTCTTAAGAATTCAGACTGTGCTCACTTGTTGAATACAGGAGGGAATGGAAGCTAAGCTTTCCCTCTTTATCTTTTTTTCACCAACAATTTGAGCAAAGAAAAAGCCAATCACTGATGCCTTCTCATATCAACAGGTCTGAAACCAAACTGACGTGAGATTGGGGACCTGAAAATACTACGTACAACCAGAACTTTTTTGCTACTGCCGGGATCCTAACAAGGTAGTGTCTGTAGAAACGTAATGATTTGCAAGTAATAATCTGACTGCCATTTCAGCACTCAAATTTTGCTTCCCTAACACATAACTGCATAACTTTTTACCAGTTCTGACATCTATTGTTATTATTAAGACAATGGCCTGTTAAGACAAAATTCTTCTGTTACTGCTGTAATTATACTAAAAGACTCTAAAAACTAACATTCATAAAAGTTTCACACATTAAAGTTTTATTTATTTTTTATTAATTTCGTTTTTTTCATTCACTTTAGTTTTATGCTAAAAAATAGAGGAAATGGTGATAATTGATGTAAAGTCATAAGGTACACTGTGATTCCAGCCACAGCAAATTTAAATGAACATGAATTAATTACTTAAGGAAAGTTATTCACATAGAATCAGACCTTGTTTTTCTTGTTTCACAAGTAACAAGGAAAGTTCTGTAGGCAAGTGGCCTTTCTTCATAAAGGGCTTATAAAACACTTGCTCATGGTAGCACCTTTTGACAGAAAGACCTGTGAATTTCAAAAATAGCTTGCTCTTAAGAATTATGTGTTCTCTTAAAAATTAAGCTTTTGAAAATATTAGTGCTTCTTTTAGTAATGACAGTGAGTGATAACTACCTCAGATGCAGATTTAATTTCTTCTAAAAAATGCTCAGATCATAATGTCTTCTAAACAAAAGTCATTTACAGAATATATGAAAGTTTTATTGTATGAATGTGGATTATCGTTCCTTTATGTTAAAAAAAAAATCAAGAAAAAAATGTTAATGGGTAAGTTCTCTTAAATCCTTTCTACACACAATGAGGAAATACCTCAAACTTTCCATAGTAAAATCGGTCAAACAGCATGATCGTGGTAATGGACACACCAATAAAGTCTGAATGTACTTATACGTTGGCTAGTAGAGAGCTCATGTAATGATTAAAAGAAAAATTGTATCTGGATAGAAAGTCACAGCCAGGAATATTCAGCAATTTCAACAGGCTCTACTTCATTACATTTTACGAGATTTCTCTGGTAGAGCTGCCTGTATCCTATGACATGGAGCATTTAAATGAAAAAGCAATTAGTAATTATACAATTTGAAGCTTTTTTTACTCGGCATTTCCTCGTGATACCCTGATAATGTTAGAAATGTGATTCCTCCATTTTGTCACAAATTAGGCAGGTTATCTCTGAGTCGAGCTTTAGGGAAGTTAGGTCCCGATCGTTGTGATTCTGTAGAAGTCTTCTTTATGAATCAGCATTGATTCAGTGGTCTGGTATAGCTTTGGGGAATAGCTGTGCAAGTAAAAACCCATGAAATGTGATCAATCCATTGTTTTACTCTGGCAGTTCCTAGCACAAGAGATTCTGTACATCAGTTATACTTCAGTAGGAAGGACTGAAGAAGCCTTTTGCTGTAGAACGGAGTTGAGGACAGCTAAGGCATATCGCTGATACAAAAATGACAAAGCAAGAGCAAGACAGTGGGAGATGCATTACTGCCACTGTTCCATATTGCACTTCCATTTCTCCATTCTACATCTGAAGAAGGGCGTCCCTTATTTTTTTTCTTTCCTTACTTCTTAGCCACCCCTGAAACGTTTTTCATTTTTCCTCTCTTGTCTCTCCTTTTTGCCTGCATAGATGGATTTCAGCACTCCTGGTCAATCACGTAAAAGTGATTGGTACTTTGGTGAGAAGAACTAGAAACCTCTGGCCTGTTGGGAAATCTGGAGCGCTACATACTACGTTTCCACTTTCAGATCAAGTCTCCCTCCCCCTCTCCTTGTAGTGAGTTACCTTTATAGCTAACGTTGTTAATGGATAAATAACATCTAACACGGAAAGAAAATATAACAATCTTCAAGAGGACTTAACTAAGTATGAAGTTAAGGCCAAATAAAATGCACTCAGAAGACTAAAAGTTACTGTATCTTCTGTAATCAATTCTTAAAATATGTGCTGCGTATTCCCAGGACAGACTGCCTTTTACTCCCTATTCCTGGAATAATGCTGTATTAAAATCTGTAACTATATCATTAAATCGTGAGCTTTATTTGGTAAAATGTAGTACCTATTTTATAAACTTCCATCACAGTTTTTTGGTTGGTGTCCCCTCCCTCCCCCCTGAATCCTTGAAGATTCCCCACAAAATTCATAAAAAATCAGAATGCTAACTCCTAATTTTTATTCAGTTAAAGGTTATTTCTGCTCAAACTTACCGTTCATTGTCCCAGACCTAAGCGCATGAAAGAGGGTTTTTCTCCTAAATTTTTAAGCCTCTTGGTATTTAACAGTCTTTCAAGATTGCTCTAATGAGTCTTTTGTCCATAAATGGAAAATCAAGCCTTTGTGAGCTACGTTTCTACTGTAATCCCATCACTGTTCAATTTTCTGTTCCATCTGATAACTTCCTTTCAGAATAAGCTATTTTACATACAGTGAATTAAACCACTTCAGACATTATTTTTTCAATCACTAACAAGACTAGTTTGGCATTGCTAAAAAAAAAATCATATTGTGAATGTCTTGGAATATTTCAATTTAGCATTATTCTTTGCCCCAGCGTGCCAATTTGTATACTTGAAATATCCCCGGGTGCATTGGTTGAAATCTAGCCAAAATATCCGTGGCACTATTATCTATTAAGCTTGTAAATAAAACATACACATCAACAGGACACATGAGGAAAACAGATGATATGATTAAAGACAGTATATGACAGGATTAAAGATTTAAAGTCTGTCAGCACCGATTTGTTAAATTGTTGCTAAAGCCTATTTCCATGTAAAGCACATTAAACCTGAAAAACGTCCAAGCAGTAGCCAGAATGATCAAATTCCCGCTCAGGAGGACTCCTAGTCATTTCAGCAAATGCCTTTTTTTTAATCCCTTTGAAATCAACAGGGTTTCTGTCTCACTCCAACCTGTAGAGTAAGGGCTGCAGAACAGCTACTTTCCCTGCATTAAAAACCTAGCTGGCTTTTTTTCCATTCTGTCCCTGCTTTGGTAGCAATAATATGTCTGGATTCATTAAACTCCAGTGCCTTACGTGGGAGGCTGTAATCACCCAGCACTCCCCGGGGAAGGGGCAAATGCCTTTCACGGCTCTCTCGGGGGGAGGCCTGGATGTGAACATCTCAAGCCCTGGCATCCTTCAGCATCTTCCCCGTATGCTTTGAACACGAGTGGCACCTAGCCCTGGTGAGTTCATTACGGTTCTCCTGTGGCCAGGCAGTGTGATTCATGTCTGTTCTTTGTGTTATCTCTGTTTTTCAAAAAGCTCGTAAATGCGTTAGAAGAATCCACGTCTGTGTTTTTAACTTAGGTCTGTAGTTCCATTCTTTACCTTCAGCCTACTGTTCCAACTTAGCGAAAATGCAGTGTTCAGGTTAGATCTTGCCCAGGAAAGAAGTTGGTTGGGTTTTGGTTTTTTTTTTTTAACAGATGTTGGACGTGAGCATTTGGGTGTTCTGAAATTCCACCACCATAAAGGAATAATGATTTTTTTGTGCTCAAAATTCAACTTTTTAAGCCGATGTTTTGCAGAGATGAAAAAAAAGCCCACTGGCATCTGTTGAGAGATGCCGTTTTGGAGAAGTTACTGTGTTTATTTGCTTTTGCTGAAGAACACAGCAATCATATAGGCTTGATGACAGAGTGTTTCTTTCAATACAAATTTAATCACGATTAGTAAGTGGAAAAGGAACAACAGTATCTCCCTTGTGCTAACAAGCTACTCGTATTGAGCATTAGAAAAATAGTTTAAAAGGCAGGTAGATAGAACTGTGCTGGCAGTAAGTCAAGCAGCTTCAAATGACTACCTATTACGGGCTTGAGAAGCTCTCCCCAGAAGATGATGCTTCTGATCAGTTTATGGACGGGTCCCTGATCAGAGACTCGCAGTATGCATCTGTTGGCACAGTTCAGAGGAGAGCAAAGATGACTTGAAATTGCCAGAAGCAACAGACGGGGAGACAGGTGTCCCCGCTGTCTGCTCCTAAACTGTGCAAATCTGATGCAAATCTTTAGCTCCAAGTGAAACGTGCCAAATCAGGGAAGAGGGCGGAAAAATCTTAAAACGCAAGAACCTTAATAACTCATCCCTCATCCTGAGAACGGACCTGGGGAAGGCAATCCCTCAGCAAACCAGGGAACTATGTTGTCAGTGTCTGCAAGATCTGTGACATTCAGGGCTCAGACTCCCAATCCCGCTCTTCTTAAAAAGGCTTACTTGGGGAGTTGTCTGTTGCCCTCTAAAGGGTGTTACTCCAAAGGATCAGAAATAGCTGTAGGCTGTTCACCCTTGGAGAGTGTGGTCACCATGAAAAGTCGTAACAGCGTAATGGTTTCTGAGAAGAGTTTGGTTGGACTCGATTCCTCTTCTGGTGAAGAGGTGTTCGTACAAGAAAAATGAAACGCAGCTGGTGTTAGCTGGCAGCTGCAGTAACCCTCGCTGCAAACCTCACTAAAGAGGCTCGTTTTGTAAATTATAGAGTTAGTGAGCCCCTCACTTCTGGAGGTGATGTCCAGGGATGCTGGGGACACACTGCTAGAGCTGTTGTCACTACAGCTGCCCACAGCGGTTCTGGGGCCCGGTACCACAGCTCAGCCACAGAAATGATCCACGCGGCACATCATGGGTAGGGCAGGAGGGTTATTAGTAAGCACATGAGAGGATAAAAAGCTCAAAGTTGCTGAATTTCATGAGGTGGTTCTCACACCTTCTAAGCAGTGGCTTATGCTGATCCAAATAGTTTGTTACATCCAAAGTCTACAGCTTAAGCACTTCTAGATAAGCCCATACAATTTTAATTTCTAAAACTTTTCAAAATATGTTTTTCGAATAACAAAGTCTTCAGACCAGTAATTAAAGTGCCATGTGAGCCAAAACTCACTGGCATAAAGCATTAATGTCACAATTTCTCTTGAAAAAAAAATTAAATTATTGTATTATCACGTCAGATAGAATTCCTTTATTTCGATGAGGAACCTTGGTTAGTAAACAAAAGACAGAATTTGGCTTCTACCTTTTAAATGTATCAGAAACCAGTGGCCAGATTTTTAAAAGCCTTCTCACCCCAAATGGACAGTAGTGCCAGAGCACGCAATCCCAGGCACTCCTGTGTGATTTTTGTGGTCAGACGTTCAAATAAAGCCACTTAGCTAATTAGGTTTTCAAAACCTAACTCATTCTAAATGAAATCACTACAAAGAAAAGAAAAGATAAACAAATAAAGGGAAATAAAGTCAGATGACAACTGGGCATGTTAGGTCAAATCCTAAGGCATGTGGAAGCAGCTGTAACTAAACTGGATCACTTGCTTCAAAGCAACTGTCGCTCGCACCTTTTTTCCCAGATATTTTTTTTTTCCAGGCTTTTTAGTCAGGATGCAGCATATGCAATAAAGGAAGGAGTGGCTCCCGTAAGAGAACGAGGCCACCTCAGCAAGTGACCGGCTGTGGACGGAAAGGAACATACATGCATATCTGTTTTCCACGCGTTTGCCATTAAATTGCCACTGGTTCCTGTGCAGCGAAAGCACACGGGTTAAGTCACACATGAAATGAACCAGCCCGTTATCGGTGTTTATAGGCGACAGACCTTTGCAAGAAGATGGTTAGAAACTGTTTAGCCGCAACTTTTACGGTGTTATCTCTTTTCTTGTTGCAGTTCCACAGAGTACTACAACCAGTACTGAAGAAACTCCCCCTACCACCGATAGTGATCTTTCTGGTTTTAAAACCAGCCCTTGCTGCCCCATGAAGCGCTTGGCTGCACCGTACCTTACAAGTATTTACGACTTTATCCTTCAAACGCTTGCTATACAACATGTAATCATTCAGAAGAGTACCATTATGCGTGTTTATAATACACACATGTTCTTGAAGACAAAGGCACTGTGAAAGGAAAATTGCGTGTCATATGCCTTGTTCCTCTGCAAGTTGAACTCTTTCAGTAAGAGAAAAATTGTTGACTGCCACACTGTGAAGATGTGAACACAGATATGACCAATGTCATTAATGCCGTGGTAGTGTTGCATCTGTTTTCCCCTGTCTGCTGGGGGTATCTAAGCAATTTTGCTGCCTTACGGAAAGATCACCCAGAGCATCCACCCCTTTGAAATAGCCTTGCAAAGCTTAAGTAAGGCTTTTTAGCTGGAAGAACCTGTAAGAGCAACTTTTGACATATCTGAATCTCAACAGCTGCTCAGTCTGTATCTGCTTTCTTTTTGTTCATACAGTTAATTCTTTGGCTCAGCTGCAGTGAGAAATACAGGTGCAGTTTTCCATTAAGCTAATGGAAACTATGAAAATACTTTCCAAGGAATTAATTTGGCTACTAAGATATAATATATCACATTCCAATTAACTCTATGGTAAAAGATGATTTCATAATGACAAGGCTGCGATTTCGCTGTAGAGCAGAGCAGAAGCTGAAAACTTTTTGTCGAATATCCTGTCTCTTTTAAAAGAAGGGAGAAGCTAGCTAGCAAATACAAGGAATGTTTACTTCTTTCTATGTATGTCAGTCTTAGTTATGGGTGAAATCCTACCGGAGTGGTCTGATTCTGTTCTCTAGGGAACAGAAGAGTGAGCGAGCACTGAGAGTGAAGTCAGCAGAGCTGCATCGATGTAACCCTAAGCTGAGGTCACAAAGAAGATGAAAAAGGGTTGGTTCTTACTAGTAAGGCTCGGGATTGAGCCTTACGCCCCGTGCCCTGGTTTCTGCAACCGTTTTGCAATGTTTAGCGTGCTTACACATGTTTTATCTAAAGGAAATGTAAACATCTGCTACATTCATACGCTGGGGTGCTTATACGATGCATTTGCAAGAGCTTAATGCGCAGCCTGATCATCTCCTGTGTTCCTCACATAGAGAATCCGAGATGGAAAGAGGAACGGGGGTAAGGCTGTTCCCACGCAGATTTTACAAGAGCAGAACAGTAACGGGCACGGGATCTGCTCCAGCAGAAGGACCTGCACGAATGCACGCAGAGTACGTACAGGATTGTGCTTTTCCAAAGGAAAAGAGAAGGGAATCGCACTGTTTTCTTTTAGGGTTTTATCTCCCTTTTCCTCCCCCCCCCCCAAATCGTTAAGGCCTAATGCGGTTTCCCGAGCGCCTGCCCTTCTCCGTGCGAGTACGGAGTCCGGCGGCTCCTAAACGCGGGGCGGGGGCAAGTACGGGCTCCAAGAGCCCGCACGGACGGCGGCACCCTTCCAGAGAAGA